GGCCTGCTGGTTAAGGCAAGCCCGAAGGATTTGGTATACTGTACCCATGTTCACGTTCTTGCTCCTATGACTATTTATAATAAGCGAAAGAGCTTCAGCTAGAGAGAGAGAGATGTCCACACCAGAACATCCTATAGCCTAGTGGCTAGGGTGTGCTCCTGCAATGTGGGAGATTGAAATACAAATCCCTTTTTCACGTCAGGCAGGTAAGGGAATTCAGCCTAGATCTTCCACAATCCAGGTGAGTGCCCTAACTACTGAGGCTACAGTTCTGAAAGAGTCATCACCTCCTCCCCATCCTGTGGTGTGTGAATAATGCCAGAGTGCTAAAGAAGGTGAAGCTATTTGGCAAATTTATAATCAAATTCAAAGTTTCTGCTCAACTGAAATGGCATTTTTTGGCCAATAAAAACCATTTTGCCCAGCTCTCCTCTCCAGTACTTAACAGAGAAGAATTCTGCTGACCTGTGCTTTCATTTTTTCCTTTTCAGTGTTCTCGTTCAGCTGCTGGACTTTGAACCTTACTTGCTGGATTTCCTTGTGAATCGCTGTCACCTTCTCATAGACGGCCCCTCTCTTCTCCTGAACTCTATTACAATACCTAAAGCGAGAAGGTATGAAATAGTTAGTGGTGAACTAAGCACCTCACCCCAAATTAAATATAAATACCAACATGAATTTCATATTGGATATGAATGTCAAGTGACGTACAAAGTTATAGTTACAGTTATTTGCAAGAGTGAAGAAAAAGCTGTACTTGTAGGATAAATAATGTTTACCTATCCACACGTACAATTTATTTCCATCACACTGACATCAGAAAAGTTGACTCATTCTTAAATACTAGAGCTAGATGGCATCCAGAAACAAAACAAAGGCGTTAACCTAAGTTGTCAAACAGAAATTGCCCAATTGACTCCAACTGAGGTACACCGATGTAAATGAGCTGAGAATCCAGTTCTAAGTGTGTTCCTCCTCTTGAGTGGGCTTTCGTCATACTCTAGAGCAGTGTTCTCAGACTTATTTGATTGCACCCCCATTCTGTGGGGCTATCGTTATTTACAAAGCCCCCATGCCACCCAACTCTAAAGGCAAAGTGGAAAGCAGTGGCTGCTGGCCAGGTGCTCAGCTCCGAAGGCAACCCCACCACCAAGAGCAACGCAGAAGGCTGGCATGGTATGGCATTGCCACCCTTACTTCTCCACTGCTGCTGGCAGCAGTGCTGCCTTCACAGCCGGGTACCTGGGCAGCAGTCACCACTCTATCTTGATGCCTCTATCAGATAGCAGCAGCAAAGGACGGGGGGGAAGGGGGGAAGAAGGGGTACTTCAAAGCAGCAGTGCTGCTAAGCTGAGCCAGGGATCAGCTGTGTGGGAGCTGCCGCTCTGAAACCCCAAGGCAACGTTTCAAAGGGGCAGAGCTGATCCCTGGCTCAGCTGTGCAGCGCTGCCCCTTTAAAACGCTGCTTCAGCGTTTCAAAGGGGCAGCACCATGGATCCCGGGTTCCGCGTGGCATGCAGCACAACATGGAGCCTGGAGTCAGTGGGGAACTCCCCCGCCACTGACCCCGGGCTCCATGAGGGCACTGTGGCTTTGAAATTCACAAGAGCCCCTGCTGGGGAATCTTGTACATTTCAAAGCAGACACTCGCGTTCAGCCCAGAGTCAGCAGGACTTCCCGCTGGCCCCAGGCTGCACACAGAGTTCCATATTTCTCCTTTGAAATGTATAAGAGCCTCAGTGGGGGCTCTTGTACATTTCAAAGGAGGAATGCAGAAGTGTCTATAGACTACTCAACTAGTCAATTAACCACAATTTAACATCCTTATTGGTAAGATCAGAGCACTTAGTTAACTTTCCTCATCTAAATGAAGATGATTTCTAAACAACACTGCATACACTTGGCCAATAATCTTCTGTGTCCCTACTGATACTATTGAAGACTATCATGGCCTAGCGTCTCCTAGGTCTTATTGTAAAATCATAGCCCTGTGCTTACAATATTACAGTTTGCCCTCATGGAAAGGATTGTGGTGTTCCAGACCTACCCTTACAACATGCCTTCAGCATCACATTGGAAAGAAGACTGGCTGGGAAGCTTTGATCAAATGACACTTTTCCTTTTGTTTTAGACGTGTCACATTAGGATAATACCCCCCTGAGATACATGGCCCCATTTCCCTGTGGGTCTTGAATGGCTTTGATAATGAGCAAAAGTGGCAAGGGAAATTATGAAAAATTCATGAAAGGCAAATGGGGCTTTGTTGAAGTCTGATGAGTTGGAAAATTATCCCAGTGTGACATTTTCTTTAAAAAGATAAAAGAATCAAGGCTAAGCATTATAAATTGAATTAGTAATACACTGAAAGAGATGCTGTCAAGTCACATTGCAATTATTGATCCAAGTCTCCAAGTGCTTGCCTTCAGCATTACAGGTCTTCACAAAACTGTCCCTGTTCAATTCTCTCTCTACTACTTGTTACATGCTTCTATCAGAGATGTGAATTTTTGTAAGTGTACGTTATATAAAGTAGCATCAGCCAGAAATGCAAACTCATCCATACTCAAATACTGTGCGCTTATACTGGTCAACGTCCTCATGTTTCTTATTAATCCTTATTTCAGCGGTAGACAGCTTCTCCCGCTTAGCGCAGACCAATCTCTTTAAGGACATCTCATCTGTTGTGGCGTTCTTCATCTCTAACTGGGCACTCTCAATCTGGTCCTCAAGATTTCTGACCTACAGTATTTTGAAAAAAAATACTGAAAAACAATTCTATAAAAATCACAGAAATGCAGTATCTCTCTATTGGATTGATAGGCAGCCTAGGTTAGTGAGTGGGCTGCAGAAGTAACCTTCCTTCATCTCAGTGGGCCTCAGGATTGTTGTAACCAAGACCATCTCCTAGGATAGAGTAGTTTTGCTAACTGCACTTGAATACCTAGGATAGGGATGTGAGTGACTAATCGACTATCCGATAAGCAAATGCTTATCGGATAGTCAACATGCTAGTCGACTAGTCACTTTATCCTCCCCTTGCTGCCTCTATCAGAAAGAGGTAGCAAAGTGCGGGGGAGAGAAGGAGGTGCTTCAGAGCAGTAGCACCCAGGCTCCATGCAGTGCTGTCGCTTTGAAATGCCACGTGCAGCTTGGGCCAGCAGGGGACTGCTTGAATTCCCTGCTGGCCCCGTGCTCCCCATAGAACTTTCGCCTTTGAAGTGTAGCAATAGCCCGAAGGCTTGAAAGGCAGAGGCTTATCAACTAATTGAATAGTCAATGCAAATTGCATCGACTATTTGATTAGCCAGTTATCTAAATTTAACATCCTAACTTAGGATTTGCAAGATGTACCGACTGAACTGTAGTAGCTCTGTGATTGGATGCAAAGGCAGCACACAGCTCTCACCGTCAATGTTGTGTGCAATCAGCATGCCTCTGCTTTATGTGTGTGTCACTTTAGTAATACCAGTAGGAAAAAAATTACGTAGACAGAAACCAGTGGAATCTGGCAACTAACAGTAAACAAAATTTATCGCAGGCCATACATAGAACCCTGCATGGAACCCACAGACTGTAGGCTGCCCACCACTGTACTATTGAATATTTACTAAAATAGAACTTTATTCATTTTGATAGTCTGAAAACCCAGTTAATTCTTCCCAGCAATCAGTTAACATACTTTGTAAATATTTAACAGGTCAGGCTTGGTGGATCACACCACTTAGACTTCCAATACTTACTGCATACACTACTGTACCTTATGTTGGACAAATAATCAAAACTTTACTAAGTTTTGCCAAAAAATGAATAGTGAGGTAGCTATTTTTATTTTTGCTTACTACTCTGTCATTCTCCAAAACTGCTGGTTCTAATTAGTAACATAACTTACCAACAAATAACCCTCTATAAAAAGAAAAGATAGTTCATGCTATTTTGGCTTATATTTCTACAGTAATAAGTGCTTCAATTTTATGACAACACATTTACAGGAGTTTGTCCTTAATTCAAAACTTTCTCTCCTATCCACTGATGTGCTATGGGAAATTATTATACTCCACCCCAACTGTTGGTGCATATTGGTGGTGCTGATGATAAACAGCTCTGAAGCAGCTTGGGATCCTTTGGGAGAAGTGAAACTATTGAAATGGAAGATGATGATTAAAAAAATAGATATAGGGATGGCTATTATGTCTAGATGCTAGAAGGCACTGTGCTTTGGATTGAAATATATTCTACTTTTGCAAATATCACTTGTCAACTGTTGCATAATAGTTGGGGGGGGTTAGATTCACATTCTAATATTTTTGCTTAGGGTAACAGGGAGCAGCACTTGCATTAAATTAAAACCTGGTACTTATTTGAGAGCAGTTTATTTCTTACATGAAGTTAGAGGGGGGCACACAAGTAAATAATACAAACCTCTGCTGAGATATTGGCCATCTTCTCCACATTTGCTCCTTGGCTTTGCATTTTCTTTTGGTATAATTGCACCTCCAGTTGACATGATGGCAGGATCTCAACTAGGTCTCGATAACTTTCATACTTCTCAATTATTTCTTGCTTTACAAAGAACAAGAAAAAGCTATTTACTTAAATAAATGAGTGAAACGTGGTTTCAATTATGTCCTGCAGCAATGCATATTTACTCTTGTGACTAATGTATGGATGTAAACTGAAATAAAAGAAATCAAGTAACTTCAAAATTGTTGCTGAAAGGGAGTAAATTTTGAGTTTGCCTACAAGATTATGCATCAGGGAGTGGGGGATGGGGAAGACAAGGATGATACTAAGTGCTGTACTCAATCAAACCTTCTGCTATAAAGAAATAAATGTGTCTATTCAATATGCTACAATGCCTGTTGGGAAAAAGAACATAAATTATACAATGGAAAATTCTACATCAGTAGAAGTTCATTTATGTTCACGTGCCTAGCATTACACAGGGATGTTTGATTCAAGTCAGATGGTAATAACGTCACACCTCAAAGAGTACAAGAAGAGAGAGCAATCTAAAGAGCAAATGATGAGCTTCACTGATGCAAAGATGTATCAGTATGCTCACAAGACACAGCCAAACATGAACCTTCTGTCTGCAAGATTTGAACTTTATATATGCTGTCTGATCTTTCTCTGCCTACTATTTTACCAGAAACTAAAGACACGGGTATATAAAGTTAGAGGAACATTTTCCTTTATTTCTCTTATTTAATTTGTGCATTTCAAAAATTATAAATTGAGAGGGGTTCCAATGTTGCCCCTAAAGAGCCATTTCATTTCCTTTTGTTTGTCATGACTCTTCAGACATCAGCAGGGATGAAAACATTTAAGAATCCAAAGAAGCAATTAGAAAACCACAAATTAGAGAGGGGACTCAGGGATGCTTAGTTCCTGAAGACACATTGCCTTTTTTGCAGTTTACTAAGATTTCAAGTTGATTGTGTACCTCAAATTATCTGCTTCCTTCTAATGTACCTTCTCCATTTTAACTGGAGTGAACCTATATCAGATGATTTTGGAATTAGATTGCAATTTTGGGATAAAGTGTTCCCAGAAAGAAGAAAGCAAGCCTCCAGAGTCAGAACTACTGAGTGAGAACCAAGGTAATCCTGGGCCTGGGAAGAGCTATCAAAACACAGCCAGCCATACTTGGTAGAATAAGGATGCAGTCAGCTGGACAGGTTCAAGGGACCCAACATTTCTGAGCTTAGTATTAAAGACGGAACAATCATCAGTAGCACCTATGATCCTATGCTTAAAAAGCCTTTTTGAGCCCATGTGTTACTACACCTCTGTAAATATCAGCTGTTTTCTTTCATTATAAACAAAATTATTAAATCCCTTGCTTGTCACCTATTACTGATTTTTGTAAACTGGTGCACTAGCAGCTCTCTATATTATGCCAGAAGATGGAGTCCCATCATTACTCATGTCTTGCCCATCACAGAGGGGAATTTAATAGACCGTGTAAGGACAGAACAGGCATAATACAGTAATCAAGACTCACCTTGGTTTTCTTGAGTCTTTGGACAGTCTCCTTCATATGTTCTTTGTAATTCTTCAGTTCCTCTGGAGACTCTACAATTTTTGATTTCAGTTCCTCTTGTTCTTCTTTCAAAGTAGCCATTGTCACTTTTAGCTGGTTCTAATGAGCAAGACAGTTAAAATATATGGCTGATATCTCTGTTTTACTTAATGTTAATAATGCTGCAAATGATTGTCTTCTGATGAGTTAAACAGAATGGAGAAGAGAAGTTCTGTGAGGAAGGGCTTTGCAATGAGCATCTTGTGCAGGATAGCATTCTACTGCTATCTAGCCAAACTGTTCTATAGCACAATATTTTTCTTTTAGTATTTGTTTTAAAAGAAAAATTCTATTAAATTCTCTTAAGAATGTTACAGTTGCCAAGTAAAGCATTCAGGTCAGAAAATGACAAAATTAAGGCTGCCTTAATTCTGCTAACTGATGTATGTGCATTATGGTACAATTGTGAGTTACATGACCACTTATTTTTGCTACATTCATGCTTGCTGCGAGCATTCTCGCCAATAAAATTCACTACCCAAATGCTAATGAATAAGAGATCACAAATACCAGCAGAACTAAAATGCCAGCCGTATTCACAAGAATATTCGTATTTTTTTCCGCCGTTCGCCCAGTTCTACTCCTGGCCAATATCCTCCCACTCTTATAAAATAGATAACATCTGAGAAGATAAGGGTTATTTCCAAGAATTTAGGGAATGCCCTGTTTCCCCCACTAGAGTGTTTTCACATTACTGGAAGACATAAAAGGTGATAGAGCTATTACATCAAGAACTGATTACTTTAAAAGGATGTCACTGTTCTATAGCTGGGCATTCAAACAAGGAATTTCCAAAGTTGGAATATTCAGCCTCAAATCTATCCTTTTATTTACATGAAATAGTACAGTCTTTAGTTATGGAATCATTTATTATTTGCTGTAACACAATATACAGTTTTTCTACAACTTTAGATGCTAGCAGTATTTCCACCATGCATGCTTACACAACTTTAAGTGTTATAATGGTCCAGTATCTTTTTTTGATTTAGGACACCTCAACACCTATATGTTTTTCTTTCCAAAGACAAACAGAAGCAAGGCACAATGAGAATAATATATCCCAGACACATTACAGGATCATTAAGAAGGAGCTCAGCTTCATTTGACTTGCAACATACAAAATAGGCATCATACCAACTGAACTATGCATACATAAAGTGTCATTTTCAAAGGTTCATGATTTGATCACGTTAAAAGCCAATTTTCAAATGCTTAAAGGACCTTTCCATGGGGCTTCTTGTGTACCAAATTTCAACTTTACGTCTCCAGCTGTCAGAATAATTACAGCAGTTCACATAGTTGTAAAATTGTTTTTTATAGTCTACCCCTCCTTCCCCCACACTCTGATGGCTGAAATCTTAATTCAGCTTGCCCACAGTATTACTTCTGGGAAGACACCAAGCTTGCATAACTTCAGACAAGCTGAAAATAGGAACTTGGAAAGGAAGTTGTACAGCTTTTACTATACTACTACAGTTGAAATGCTACAAAACCTCTTGTCTGGGCACAGTTATAAAGATGCTTATATAAGTACAGTGATTCCTGTAAGAGAAAAAGAATAAGCCAAATTGTTATTAGCACCCTTATTCCAATATAACTGCAACCACGTTCTCTACTGGTATAATTATTTTGGTACATAAATGGCTCATCCTTAACTGAAATAGCTAAACCAGTACAAAAACTGTTTAGACCAGGAGTTAGAACATTAAGGCAGGTCTACACAACAGTATTATTTTGGAATAACTGGCGTTATTCTGAAATAACAAAGTTCGTGTCTACACCCAAACAGTAATTTTGACATAATGTTGAAATAATGTCGAGCCAGAGGACTTCTTACTCCGACTCCTGTAACCCTCATTTAACGAGGCATAAGGGAAGTCAGAGGAAGAATGCTCTCTCTTGGACTTCCTGCTGTATAGACAGCGCCAAAAGCTGAAATAAGCTATTTCAACTTAAGCTACTCGATTGACATAGCTCAAGTTGCATAGCTTATTTTGGCTTTAGCCCTACTGTGTAGACGTGCCCTCTGCTACAAGAGCTGGAGTCGCATATATATGAAAACCAAACTCTATTCTTTCCGTGAAATACAAACATAGAAGAGGTTTTTAAAATGTAAACTAATTTAATTGTCTGAGCCATTCACACTGTGCATAGCTAGCAAAAGTCAAGCAGAAAAATGTGACACTATTTTATAACAAGCTCCATCACTGTCCAGATCCCACTTAAATTGAGTTATACTTACCAGACTTCGGGTTCTCTCTGCGACTTCTGCTTTCTTTTGGGAAGTCACTTCTTGCAACGCTGTCTAATCAAGAGAACAATTGTTTGACAGTTCAAAGGGGAGGACTATCAGTATGGCTTCTGGTTTTATATTTGAACTTTTACTACAGAGTAGAGACTACTGAAAAAAGCAGTTGCCAGCTACCTGCACAACTATCCTTTCTCAGGGCCCAGTGAGTGTAACCCTACAGCAGTCAGGCCATGGTTGGGATTCCAGCGTTCACCCACTCTTGGACAAGAATCTGGGTTACAGCCCCGAAGTACCAACCATAACTAATTCAACAAGTCCAGCTAGAGTTTGGACCTGGCCATTAGTGCATCTGGGAGTCATTACTATTGATTTATGCAGCAAGACCACACCTTCTCAAGCAGTACTGTTGAATATTAGCAGGGGTACAGCTTTCAGAAACATTGGTTACAAATTTTAAAAAGGGGGAGACCTAACTGCATGGATCTTGCCTTAATCACTTCTGGCCTAGATGCTTAGGCCCTTCTTAGAGAGAACATGCCTGTCTATAGTTCCTACTTCTTCCCCTGACCATCTATGTGGGCATGCTGACCACTTTCCCCCTCCCTTTCTCTTAGGGGCATCTTTTAACCAATCAGCATCTTTTTATCTTTAGCATGTGCTAGTGATAGCCCCCCAGTATTCTCAGTTGCTTTGAAGGTGCATAGCTGCTGTTTTCTTATGTCTGAGGGTGTCTACACTGCCATACAAGAACAAATAGCAACGTGGGTAAACACACCTGTGCTGGCATGGCTATAAAAGCCATGCAGATGAGGCAGCAAAGGTTTGAATAAATCCCCAGAGACCCTGGTGTGCTTGTACAATCCTTGCTGTCACTTCTTCACTACTATTTTTAGGCATGCTAGCACAGATAAAACTAGTACAGGAACTGCTACCTGAGCTGCCGTTATTCCTCAGACTCCATTGCAGACATACCATTAAGTCCCTATTTCCTACACAGATCTGATTTAATTTAATCCTTTGAGTTCAGGTAGGCAGCAACACAAAATTAAACAGGGAAATAGTCACAAAATATTCTTTATAATGCAGATCTCAGTTCATCACACAAGCAGTGTGTTCCTATAATGAAAAACAGACTATATTTCACATACTGCTTCTGATCTCGCTAGACACAGCTGTTAGCTTCATTCTCTCATAGGTATAAGCACACGTTAATACTAGGGAGTATCACAGGACTCAACCAGGACAGATGTAACTTTACTTTACGTTGGAAACGTCCCCTCAAATTTTCATGAGATAAATCCCAAGACATAATAAATTCCCAAAAGCAAATGTCACAATAGTTATATTTTGTAACAGAACATCAGAGACAAATAGGGCATACCGTTTTTCGACGATAGTCCTGGTTTAGTACTTGCTGCAGTTCTTGAATATCATCAGACAGCTGCTTGAACTCTGCTTGCTGCTCTACTGGAATTGTGCTAAACACAAAGATATGACGTTTGATCTTGTTAGTGCACACCAGGTGTCAGTGAGTTAAGAGCTGTGTAGTACAGGCAGAAAGACATTTTCCTGACTCAAAGGGTCTTACAATCAGCTACACACAGTGACCTGGTTAACCGGCTGAAGACTTAAATCTCACCTAGTTTTCCTTTGGTGGGATATTATTGAAAGCTTTCATAGCTAAAATGTGATTTAAGGAAAGATTTAAGAAAAGAGGGAGCAAAAGAAGAGAGCTGTAAGTTTAAGATGCAACATGGAAGAAAGTGCAAAAACAAAAGTGAGAGAATGAGACAATGACGCAAAGAGCAATCCAGATATTTGAATTATATAATGTAATTATTATTATTGTAGCAAGAGCTTAAAGTGGTAGACTTAAAGCACAAGGCTAAATTCTTGAGGACCAGAAAACTCCTCTTAGTTTTCAAATTGGTCTAGGAAATTAGCAAATAAGAACCAGAAGTGCCTATGGATAGGGGAAAAAAAGAAAATGGTACACAGAAATGGGGAGTTGGACAAATGAGAATGGGCCAGAAAACATGAGTAAAGGAGGCAGCTAACCCCATCAAGGAAGCCAGAAGCAGTCATGTAATTGTAACCGAGACTTGAGAAATATTAGTCTGAGACATGTTTAAAATAGGATCTTCCATCTTTAACATACTTTTAGTTAAAACAACCTAAATTTGGAACTGGTGACTGGTAGTGGATCAAGTCACCTACGAGGCATGCCACAGAGAAAAAACTGACCTGTAGTCCATAATGGTGACAAAGTATAGTGATAGTACTTGAGTGCTTTGCCAAAGGAATGGACATGAATGAGGGAGCCTCATCTCATGAGCTAGAAGCTAAAGAAGGGCTGGAAGAAAGGGAAAGTACATGGAACAAGAAGAGTGCAGACTTCCTTAAATATATAAAGGGAGTAAGAAAGACAAGGGAGCAAAAAGAATACAAAATCAAGAGAAGTAACATTCAACAAAGAAGTAAAGCTGAATATAGTCTTAAAGATGCAGAGAAGAACACTGAAAACTTTATGCAGGATAGCTATTTAGCTTTGTTAGTGCTTTGCAAACACTAATCTAATTAGCCATCAACATCTCCTGCAAGGGAAGTAAGTCCCCTTTCAGGCGAGCAGATGCATACACTGCTGGCTAGACCTGTAGTGCTCTCTCCAACAGCTACCCAACAATGCAGCTGCAGACCAGATGTTCTGATTTGGCTCCCCTTCCTCCGCATACTGCAGTTTGAGAAAAAAGCTGGTTCAGAGAACACAAGCAGCAAAGACTAACCTCCATAGTAAATATAACTATTATACAGAAGGTAAATGGAGACAGGGCTGGCAAAGGTTACACAGAATTCCACTTCCTAGTCAATATTCCTCTGCTTGTATATCCAACAGTCACGCTGGCCATCAGCCAACAGGAGGTCACATTTAGCTGGTTACCCACCATGAACCCTAAGTTCTGAAAAGGACTTTAAGCTGCTTTAAAAGTATATCCACATACACATATATACATATCCATATATATTATATATAAAAAAAACCTACTCATCCGGCTCCTACTAACTTTAGGAGCCAGGGCGGGGCAGGGGGCAGGCAGCCCGGCTCAGTCCCTGCTCGCACCAGATCAGGGACCAAATCCCCCTGTGGTTCTGCAACTTAAAACCCAGTAGGAGCCAAAGGGCATTCTGCTCCTCAGTTCCTACCACCTTTTAAATTGCAGAGCCGCAGTGAGGTTTGGTCCCAGCACGAGCCAGGACTGAGCGGGGCTGCCTTCCCCTATTGAGTAATCAAGTAGTCAATAAAAATTCTATCAACTACTCTTTTATGTTTGGCGAATTATAATTATGGGCTAGATAATCAAAAGTCCATAGGATAGGCCCTAGGTACAAGAGAGTCCCTTCCTCCCTCCACAGCTCTGAAACATTTCACCAATAGAAGGAGACAGGAAAAACTTAAACAACAACAAATGCTCTGGGAGAACTTTAAAGACCAACAAAACATGTAAATGGTGGTATGAGCTTTTTATGTTTGGCGAATTATAATTATGGGCTAGATAATCAAAAGTCCATAGGATAGGCCCTAGGTACAAGAGAGTCCCTTCCTCCCTCCACAGCTCTGAAACATTTCACCAATAGAAGGAGACAGGAAAAACTTAAACAACAACAAATGCTCTGGGAGAACTTTAAAGACCAACAAAACATGTAAATGGTGGTATGAGCTTTCGTGGGCACAGCCCACTTCTTCACATGACTGGAGTGTTGGAAGTTCAGAACCAAGTTCTCTACCAAGTTCTGGACTTCCAACACTGCAGTCATCTGAAGAAGTGGGCTGTGCCCACGAAAGCTCACGATACCATCTACATGTTTTGTTGGTCTTTAAAGTGCTACCAGACTATTTGTTATTTTTTAAGTTTTTCCTGTTACAGACTAACTCGGCTACCTCTCTGAAACAGAAGGCAGGTCAGTTCAGGAAACAGGACTTTCACAGGAGCTAGACCTCAACTATGGAAATAAAAACTGATCGTCTGTCTCATTTCAGAATTAAATGTAAACTTATCTTTTGGCTTTTCCTTCAATTACTTCACATAGAAAAATAAGTCAATTTAAAAACTTACTCAAGGTATTTCTCCTATACCCTGGAAGGAAAAAAGATATTTATTTCTATCTTTAAACAGATGGAAGATTCTCAGACACTGATACATCCATATAGTGACTTGACGGATATAGAAAAGTCAGACACCAGCCACATCACTTCTGTCCTAAGACAACAGCTTAATCATTCCCCGTGAGAGAATTGTACATGTGCGTCATAACTGCAAAAGCCAGGGATGTGAATTACTTGAGCCTGTACTCACTCAAGTTTCTCTAGCTTCACTGCTGCCTCCTGATTTGCTGTCTGCAGTTGCTGTATTTTTTCCATGGCTGATTTCTGTAAATTAAAGATTAAGGTATTTTAATGATTAGTTGGCATAATATGGGAGCACAGAGATTTATAAGCAACCTACAATATGTCAATATGTTCCTCACACAACCAGGTTGGTCCTACATACTCTGTTTGTACTGCCGACATACACAGTTGAGATAATTGCTGGTAGTTCTAGCATCATCGTTTTCTGCTTAGTTAGTGTTACCTCTCACGCTCCCCTCAACGGAAAAGTTTTCCAAGTGTCCATGTCTTTGCTCCCTGTGCTTGAATATTTAACAAGATACTAGAGGGAGGGAAGCAGTTGCTAGGCCTAAAAATTGATTCAACAATTACCCTGTACGAAAGCCCTTATTTAAAGATTCCAGTATGCATGTTTATTTCCAGAAACATCCAAATATTCAATGTAATGTGCAAAAGAAAAACAAGTACATGGATAGGCAAGAGGTCTGGTTGATATCAAGCTACAAGGATGGAAATATTCAAATATGGATTATAACAAACTGCAGTTATGTGGCAAGTAGCGTTCTTTAAGAGTCTATCACCTACCGAAATCCTCATTCTGCCCGGTAAGAAATGTGATTTTTAGCCATGCATTTAGCAAAAGTATGTCACCAATGTCTGTTACTTCAATCCTGGGCCTCTCAAGAGCCAAAGACCCTTTGTGAAAGTTATGAGATCCAGGATTCACCTCAGAACCAGTAGAAAAGCAATACACGGTTCATGTTCATTATCTTAGCTCGTAAGGCATTCAACACAATAGAAATAACCAAGTTTTGAGCAAAGACATTCCCCTTTCATTTCTTCACAGTGGTTTTCGGAAAGCCATTATTCAGCAAAAGCTTCATTGAAAGGGTAGGTCTTAGTTTTTTATCTGCATGCATTTAGGTTTGGGCTCAATTAAGTTACCCAAGCAGTGTCAGCTGAAAGCAAGACTTTAAGTGCCCAAATCTAACCCAGCTGCATCACCCCAGCAGAATGCATCTGTCAAAATATTGCCAATGAGGCAGTCTCCCTAGCAGCTGAGCTCTAACCAGTTGTGGCCTTGCAGAATATCACTAGGACTTTAAATTCAGATTGGAAATGAAGGGAAAACCAGAGGAGAGTTCATGGAACACTAGTGTGAGACAATCGCATCAGGTTTATTGGCCAGGATGCAGAGACCTGTGTGCTCCAACACCTGAATTTTCCAGGCACTGATCAGATTCAACACCAAGTACAGCAGGTCGAGTAGTGTACCTGGAGGTGATCAAAGTGTACATCATCCAAACCAGATCATCATCTAACAGGAAACACTGTAATAGCCTTCCATCTTCTACAGGTCAGAGGCATATCTTGCTACTCTAAGTGTCTAGATATAACAAGGAGACTGGTGTGAAGCTAAGGCTTCATACTATGTGTTCTAAAACATTCATTCGGTGGTAAGGTAAGAGAATAGGAAAATTTCTAACATCTCCTTCCTAACATCTTTCCTAGACTGCTGTCTTTCCTAGACTGATTTTGACCCAGTTTGTCCTTTATTCAAACTGTTTATTTCTTCCAGACACTGAGGCAAGCTTAAACGGGCCTACATGAAAATTCCAATTGACACGTTTCCTCAGAGAACCACACCAAAGTGTCTCAAACTATTTACCAGGACCCCGTGTTTGATCAGAACTTATAGTACAATGACACAATAAGACTTGGCTGTATTCAACTGGTACTCTTAGGTGATGCCTTTCCAACAGCTTAAAAAAATAAAAGTAAGATTTCTGCCTGCCCTATAAACAGTTAAATGTTCTCCATAGCATGTAGACAACAGTTATCTGGCATTCCTTTCTTTCCTTCAAAATCTCTGTCTTACAGAAAGAAGGTGCTACAGCCCCTTTGAAAAAAGTTGTAACACATGATGGACTCGTGCAATTTACAAATCCGTACTTAAGCCTGCACACTTCCAAATATAAATTACTACGGTAGACTTCCGATAATCCGGATCCTTTGGAACCTAGGTGGTGCCGGATTATCGGATATGCTGGACTATCAGTAGTTACTATAAACCACACTTTATATACAGTATGTACTGTATATAAAGTGTTTTGAATCCTTTTTATTGTACATACTTATACAATATACTGTAATGTTTTAGTTATTTTAACCCTTTTTTACCCTTTTCGCTCGGTTCAGCTGCTGCTGCTGCTGCCTTGTGACTCGTTTTTTGCCGAAGCTCACTCACTAGGCTCTTGCCATTTTGATGCCGGACTATCAGGAGTGCCATACAATTGGATGCCGGACTATTGGAGTTTTACTGTAATTATATTTTGATGGTCTTATTTGAGCTTTTTCTTACAAACTATACATAATCTTACATAAGTCCACTGGAATTCCATGTAGATCTCTCGGCGTGATTCTCGGAAGTGAATAAAATTAATAATGCCACTCAAGAAACGAGCTGTCCGTTTTACTTCTAAAAGAGAGAAACAGCATAGAACAATGAGTGTTTTGGTGTCTATATGCCCTATAACTAGGGAGCTTGAGCACAGCAAAACTCATACAGCTAAACAGAGACAAAGACTGAATGAAAAGTGCCATGTTAGAAATAACTCAGGATAGTTTTCTGTTACAAATGTACTATACTCCAAAGAGAGTTATGAGGTTAATTTATCTATGTTGCCTTCGAAAAGAATTTCTTACAGATTTTCATTGCCAGGTGTTTTTTTTTTGGGGGGGGGGGGGGGGGGGGTAGAGAAGGGAAATATTTTAAGAGATACCCATCACTGAACCAAATCATCATCAGTCATTGAATGTACTTAAATTGATATAATTAAACAGGGAGAGGTAGAAATCAACTTCCTTAATTGATTATTTATATAATCAATTTCTTTATTAAATTGAAAAAAGTCTTTCCTGAATGGCCTGTGCCACACGTGAACTGCAACAGTGTGTTGGCAAGACAGTGGAAGAAAGGAAGAAATACAAGTATTTTCTATAGAAATATTTCCCCCAGGAAATCCACAAAATTGAGTTCCAGTCCTGTCACCTACTCAAAACTATTTCTATGTTTTAGGAATAACTATCTACTATATATTTGAGAGAGTTTTTCTGTACATTAAGTTGGTCTGTTCAAGAACTCCTCCTAAACAGTAAAAGCAAGGACCATCCAATTCAGTATGCAGCTGCCTCTTATCATAACATAAGCAAGGTAAAGGTTTGGTTATGCCAGGAAAATGGGATGTGCCTGAAATGGTATTTCTGTCTCTTTTCTGTATAGTTTTATGAGACGCATCACCAGGCAGGGGAACCCAAGCCTCCCTCCCCCAGACATCCCTTAGAGAGGGCTAAAGGTGATTAAAAGCTCTCCAGTCTCCCCCACACTGATTCATGCAAGAACATTGCTGGCTGTTCCCCTTCATCAGGGAGCAAAGGTGCAGTTTGCTGAATTCCTCATTCTGACTGGGGAGCGCAGGGGGCAGACGAACCTGAACCTACTCCAACTCCCAGCAGTGCATGCTGGAGCTGCAACAGCCATGTAGAGGTGCTTCTCACCTGGCCCAAATATGCTGCAGTGAAAGAGAGCTGAGGTAGTCCTCTCTCCCCAGGGCAGCCTGCATACTGACCCCTACTTTCCCAGCCGCACTCCAGAGCAATGATTTAAATGACAAAAAGCCAAGATTGGGTTAAGGATCTGAGCAATGCTGGCTAAATCTTCTAGTAACCCCCATATATTGGTAAATTACTTGAAAACATCAGATTACTATCTATCCTAGCAGCAAGATGGAACTGCAATGTTTTGCAAAAGAGCAGAAATGTATTAATTAATTAACATTAACTGGATTGGCTAAAGCATTGGAAGAACTGTTTAATGAATTGCTCTTCTCTGCAAGCCAGTGTGGTTCAAAAGGCAGATGCTGTCTCCACTACATCACAATTGTCTACCTCAGCATAGAAAGAAAAACCCAAGAGCCTTCAAAGATATTTCATAGAAATGTCCCAGGCATCACATAAGCATGTGGAAACATAGATGGAGTAACAAATGCTTGCTTACTCGGATTTATGACATCAGCAATCTGGAAGTCATTAACACGGCAGACTGGAAGGAAACGCTCCCTGTGGGAATTAAAAAAGATACTGAGTGTTACTAGTTCTGTGAACAAGTCTACTTCAAATGGACACTATAGTAGTTTTGCTCTACATAAATCCAGAATAGCTGCAGAAGTGTCTGACTGTATCCTGGTACTGTACATAACGTTGAACAGACTCGGCAGAACAAACCCCTGAATAGCATTTTAGTAGTACTGAATTCACGAGCTAGTATTATAGATCTTGAGGTGTTATAGTGCCATGAAGAAGCTTTTTTTAAAGTTACTTTTCACAGGACACTTTCATTTCAAGCATGTTAGTGGGAAATATCAAGCCATGCACTATGAGATGCTAGCCATGTTTATGCAAATAATTGAAGGAAAAACTTCCATTCACATTTTATTTTGTGGGATTATTTTCTTTAAAAAAAAAAATAGATAACTTATTTAAAACCAGTAGGTTTCTCAGTAAATTTACAGTCAGTTTTCTCAAACTTCTGCTGTAGTCAAGTGTCTTTAGTTAGATTCTGTTGCAGCACGCTGCAGGGACAAAACATCTGGCTTTATACATCTGGGCTGTTTGTTAGTGCAGCAGAAGAAGAAAGATTTTTCACTACTTCTTCCATGGACTGACATGCAAGAAACACAGTATTTTTCAGATCCGGAAAACTTCCTGTACTAGCCTACCAAATCTGAAAAATGTCCTTCACATTCTGGTCAACTAAGGGCTTGTCTACTTACTTCATGCCAAGCGGAGGTATAAATCTATCCTAAACTAGCCTGCCATGCACCAAGCAACCATGCAGGCACTGCTGTAACTCACTAAAAGTTCCATAGAGTCCTTAGATCTATTAGGGATGTTGGAGTGTAACCGACTAACCATTTAACCAATAAGCTACTGCTTATCGGTTAATAGTGCCAGTTACACTCAGCAGGTTCCTGGGCAGGCGGCCTCACTGCGGCAGGGAAGCCACCTCCCTGGGAATGGTGCTGGAGGCCCTGCTCCTGGGGAGGCTTTGCTGAAGGCTCTACCGTAGAAAACTTATTTGAGCTTTATACTGCAGATCTCACAGCGCGTAACTGCTGAGATTTTCAGTGGTTACACAGTTACCCATTTAACCTATTTAACATCCCTAAGATCTACCACGACTGGTACAGGAACAGATTAAAGTGAATTAGGGAAATTTTAGTGATCTACAGCAGGACCACATGGACCCTTAGGGAGAAGCAGATTAAAGCAGGGTTAACATTCACCCCAGTTTGTGTAGACAAGCCCCAAGAAGATCTGCAATATGCAGCATGTTAATTTTAAATTGCGTTTTTGCTAAGATTGTCCTCAAACCCTGATCCACTTTAGACCTTTGCATCATTCACCAATCACACCCTGCACAGTGAAACAGGGAATGGTCTGGCAGGAAAAAAAATAATGTATGTAAATACATAAGGCGGCAAATACCATGGAGCAATTTACAACCTTGAAGTTCTTATTGTTGCTTTCCATATTACAGGTTGAACCTCTAGTCTAGAGCCATTAGGAACTGACTGGTGCCGAACCAGAGAATATGCTGAACCACAGGAGGTCAATGTTATCTAGCAGCATTATCAACACTTCCACTGCTTGCTGGGCTCTTAGAAAACATTTAGGAGTAAATTAGAGCTAAATAACAGCACAGAACACTGAGAGCCAGGATTGGTGGCTATAAACAAATTTTACAGGACCTCAGGTACATAGTTACATCTATGTGAAGTGGACATCCAGCTAACTAAAATCATGCCAGACGACGGATGTTGCTGGACCAGAGTGAGCCAGACTAGAGAGGTTCAAACTGTAGTATACTTTTAGTAAATGCTGAGTTGTATAGGGCACTTCCTTTCTTCTGAGGAATGTCACATTACAAGAAAACAGTGCAAAACGGAAGAATGCATTTAATTTCCTTTCTTTTCAACATAGTACACCCTTCCTTCTCTCTGAAAAATAAATTAAAACTTCTATATAGTGTACGCTACCAACTTAAGCCAGCCTACATGAGGTCAGATACCACAGTAATTACTGCCATGGCTGATGGCCACACCACCTTCCTTCCTTCTGCCGCTAGTGCGCAGCCTCACCAGAAGCACTTCCACCAACTGAGGAGCAACGTGGGAGGCTGAGTGCCATTGCTCTCAGCTCCATGCTAGGGATGCTAGTAAATATTTATTTTTGTAAACATGTAATGACTGAATTTTAAGCCGACTCCCCACAGGCAAATGCTAGGGATGCTAGTAAATATTTATTTTTGTAAACGTGTAACAACTGAGTTTTAAGCCAACTCCCCACAGGCACCAGCTTCCACCTCCTCCTCTTCCCCCACTGCCTCCGATACAGTAGCTTACTCTGATAAACCATGGGCCAGAGGTTGCCCATCACTATGTTAGCTGTTTTAAGTTGTCTCTTTCTTTGTCTGCTAAATTGTACTTCACACATCTGCAACAAGTTGAAGGACCACCACAAATGCACAGAGCCCAAACACCTAAATTGAATTAAACTATAATCAAATCAATGAACTGTATGAAAAAAATCCATCTGTTGTACTCACATATTAATATACAAGTTACAAATAGGTAGGAAGCCTTCAACAATCTGTGGATATATGATGTCAACAGTGACCGGCATCTAAACACAAGAGTCAATAAATAAAGAGATTACAAGGAGTATTCATAAGGAACAAAACACTGGGGGTGGGGGTAATAGGAAAGTCATTCAGAGGTGATAAACATGGATGAGGAAATCAATCACTAAACTCAAATTGCAAGGCAAAAGCAAGTTAGTAGTTCTCAAACTGCAGCCTGTGAATCCCTGTCATGGTGGCTCTCAGAATAAAATTTTGAGAACCAAGTAGTTCAAGGCTGGAGAGGGTGGGAGGTAGGGATGTAAAAGGTTGCCCAGGAAGCATTCATCTTACCAACAGTCAAGTAACATTACAGGCTAGAACAGGTGCAAATGTTCAAGTGCAATAACGGATGTATGATGCATTGCCATATTTCAGTCTAGAATGGAGGCCTAGGTATTTATTAGCACAAGTTGATAAATAGTAAGGAAATTGTTTTGAGGGGGTAAATCAACAATGGCAGTCTGGACTTCTATGCTGCATGTAATGTTATAGTATTATTTTACAAGCCTGTGCTATATTGTAATGAACTCATTCATTGAAGTATAGTGTAGCACCAACTCCATTATCATTAAGGGTGATCATTGCTTTCTGTTTGAAGGTAGACTGCTCTAGTTCTCTAAAATCCACATGCTGACTCAGACTGTTTTGAAACATTCTATGGGATTTCTTAAATCCCCCGTGGATTTCCCTATTACTACTCGACTGAGTAGAATCCTGAGCCAATCTGGTGTTGTTTGAGCAAGTGGTTCCCAAGAAACAGCCCTACTGCCAAACCCCCTTCTGGAAAAGGGGCCAGTGTAGACGTAGCCGTGTTGTTTGAGCAAGTGGTTCCAAAGAAACAGCCCTACTGCCAAACAACATTTCACAAAATCATTTTGCTCCTCTAACTTTTTTGCACCTCTCTGGGGCTCAGACTACAGTTCTGATCTTCCCCTAAATTGATCAGGATTTATCTCAGCCAAAGTTTGGAATTCACTGCCCCTGATGGGAAGGGAGGACATTATTCTGATAATGTTATTCAATGTTAGTTAAGAACTCCAGGTCAGCAAGTAACAAACTGATGTGCCTAAAGGAGTAGACAGTAAGTCTGAGGTCTCTTCCAAAAACAAGATTTCCAGGAAGTCTAGTCACAGTACCTGGGTGACTCAAGGTGACATTCTGTGGTCACTGAAACATATGTTTGGTTGGATATTAGGAAAATTAGGTTGGACATTATGAAACATACTTCCTAACTGTCAGGGTGGTTAAACACTGGAATAAATTGCCTAGAGAGGTTGGAGAATCTCCGTCTCTGGAGATATTTTAGAGCAGGTTAGACAGACATCTGTCAGGGATGGTCTAGACAGTGCTGGGTCCTGCTGTGAGGGCAGGGGATTGGACTCTCGAGGTCCCTTCCAGTTCTATTGTTCTATGATTCTATGAATGTGCATATTCTACAGGCTCATTCTGGGAGTTCTGCACCGAAACTAAAGTTTCTGGAAGCCAGAAATCCTTACATTATTCATGGCTCTGACAGACTTCCCTTGACTTTGACAAGTTACAACTTTTATGCCTCAGTATGTCCATGCAACACATGTGGCTAGTACTTATTTATCCATGAGGCAGCTAGGGATTAGTTATTCTTGTAACACTTTGGAGATAGAAATCAAGATACAGTGTTAAATTAACAAAGAATCAGTTTTTAGTTTGCCCCCGGCTGTCTTTTTCAGGAATTGGTTTGTCTTCAGCTGTATTTTAATGATACTTTAAAGCACTTTTTACATTTACTTTATTCTCTGGAAGAAAGATTAAACCCAAAATACAATAGACTGGGAAAATATCACTTCCCGGTATTTTCAGCTGTATTACACCTGACATCTCCCATTAACTAAATGTGTAGATTAAATGAATGATACCTCAGGGCTTTCAAATTCACATTCAGCTACACAAAATACTAGAAGGATCAGCTAATTTAAAAATGCAAAGAATCCAGTGCTTTAATAATATAATTTTCATAATTCTGGAAATTAGAAATGTCGCTTTTTTTGCACTTAATTGTGCACCACTGTATACACACACCATATAGAAGTGCTCCAGACGGATTCCATACACATTCTGCAAGATTCTCATGAAGATCATGTGCAATACCTCAGGCTGCAAAAGAGAGACAACATTTAATTCTGGTAATTAAAAGTACACTAATACCAAGTGACTTTTACTGATGAGCTTCCTCTCTGTAAATTACTATCTTGTTTTCGCTGTTATTTATAGCATACAGAATGTATCACAAAACAAGCGGTATTCTGCCTTTAACAAATGAAGAACCACTTCATTTTTTCATGAAGATGACAAATCACATTGCTATACTCTTCTTGCATCATGAGATGTTGTACTGCAACATCTGATAATGCAGCTTCAACAAGCAATAACCAGACTGGCAACTAGAATTTTAATCAGTGTATTTGTACTCATGGTTTTCAATTATTTATTTGTAATCAACAATTATGATTATAACAGCTTCACCTAGAGAATTTTCAAACTTGAGGATATCAAAAATCTTGAAAAAGTCTATCACATTAAGACAGTGATTTAAACAAAAAATGATAGCAAACTCCATAGCAGTGGTCACCATCCAGTAAATCGGGATCTACTGAAACTTCTTGGAGCCTTTTGACAGGTAATCCTGACAGGTTTGGCCAGGAAGCTATCAAGTGCTGGCACCTCATCTGCCCTTCAGCACTATCGTGCTGCTCCTGCCCTCTGTCTTGGAGGTGCCCCCACCCTCAGAAGTCTCCTGGTTACAGTGCAGAGTGCGGGAATAAGAGGTGGGGTGCTCATGTCAGGGTGCCCCTCCTCCCACCCTGTACACCATCTCCACAGAGCAGGGGGGACAGGGATGGAGTTTGCTGGCTGTTCTTGGGAGTGGTGCAAGGCCAGGATAGGGGTACGCCTGCTTTAGTCCCCTGCATCACCACCCAGAAGCCACCTGTGGTAAGCAGTGCTCAACTGGAGCCTGCATTCCGAACCCCAGCCACAGTCCTGAACCCTTCCTGCATCCCAAACCACTGCCCTAGCACTGAGTTCCTGTGCACCCAAACTCCCTCCCAGAGCCTGCACCCTGAAGCCCCTCCTGCACTTCAATTCCCTCCCTGCCCCAGGCTCAGCTCAGAACCCCTCCCACACTCCAAATCCTTTAGTCCAAGATCAGTGTCTGCATCTCTCTCCCCCATACCTCAACTTTCTGCCCCCAGCCTGATAAAAGTGAGTGAGGATGGAGTGAGCAGGGCAGGGCCTCGGAGAAGGGGCGGGAAGGAGGCGGGGCAAGGGTGTTTGGATTTGAGGTAGTCCTGGATTGCACTTAAATTCAAAAAGTGATGTCATGCTCAAAAAGGTTATAGACCCCTGTATTATAGGTGGGGGGGGGAGTAAAAAGGATAAATTAATAATTCAATATTTTATAGACTGGAAATTAAGATAACCTCATGTCATTAACAAACACCCAAACAGTTGCAGGAGAGAAATATTTATTTGTAGTATTTCCTCTTGTGAATATTTTTTACTGCAGCAAGTGGGACTACTCGTGCAAATAAGCGTTATGGAGTCAAACCTGGAATATGCTATTAGATTTAACCTGTCCTCCAGCAGCAAGCTACTGTTTCCAGCGCATTCTTACCTTGGGATTTGGAAACAAGTCATTTTTAGAGAGGTTTTTAGCTTCCGATCCTGTGAGGATCTGATTGCGGATGTAAGTTATGATGTCATTGGGATTATATCTGGGAAATGTTAAGAGATCCATCTTGCAGGCCTGCAAAGAAAAACAGCAGCACAAAGAATGAGCCTTTAGAGCCCCACAGCTGTAGGAGCACACAAGCAGAAGAGAAACTGCAGAGGAGCCTGGGTCACTGGCTGACTTCCCATTATGTTTAACCAGTGAACTGATTAAGAAGGGCTGGAGCAGGGGAGCTGGGCTTGAGCAACTCCCCTCCTCGCCATAGGCAGGAGTTCCCCATGGACAGAGGCTGCTCTGCTGGAGCAGCACTTGCCTGAGGGTCACCCACGTTCAATGCCTGGCTGAAGCAGTCCCCCTATCCGCAACAGGCAGGGAGCTGCTCCAGCCATCACTGATTAACCAGAACCAGTAAGCATTACCTATTAAAGGTGATACTTACTAGTTAATCTTTCACATCCCTATCATGACAGTGCAGAGAAAGTGAATAGGGAAGTGTTATTTATCCCTTCACATAACACAGGAACCAAGAGTCAACTAATGAAATTCAGAGGCAGCAGATTTAAAAAACATCTGGAGTATTGTGTCCAGTTCTGGGCCCCCGACTACAGAAAGGATGTGGACACACTGGAGAGGACCCAGAGGAGGGCAACCGAAATGATTAGGGGGCTGAAGCACATGACCTATGAGGAGAGGCTGAGGGATTTGGGCTTATGTAGTCTGCAGAAGAGAAGAGCGAGGGGGGATTTGATAGCAGCCTTCAAGTTCCTGAAGGGAGGTTCCAAAGAGGAAGGAGAGAGGCTGTTCTCAGTAGTGAGGGATGACAGAACAAGGAGCAATGGGCTCATGTTTCAGTGGGAGGATCTAGGTTGCATATTAGGAAAAACTATTTCCCTAGGCAGGTGGGGAAGCACTGGGATGAGTTACCTAGGGAGGTAGTGGAATCTCCATCCCTAGAGGTTTTTAAGTCTGGGCTTGACAAAGCCCTGGCTGAGTTGATTTAGTTGGGGTTGGTCCTGCTTTGGGCAGGGGACTGGACTCAATGATTACTGAGGTCTCTTCCAGCCCTAGGAGTCTAAGATTCTAAAAAACAAGCAAAAGGAGCATTTCGTCACACAAGGCACAAGCTGCCTGCGGAACTCCTTGCCAAGGGATGTTGTGAAAAACCAAAACTATAACTGGGTCCAGAATCAGAATCAGTTTCATGGAAGATGAGTCCATCAGTGACTATTAGCCACACCGCAGCGCCGGCTTTCCCCAAACCTCCAACTTCCACAGGCAGGGGTTGGGCAACGGGATGGGTCAGCCAATAATTGCCCCACTCTGTTCATTCCCTCTCAACTACTGGAACCTCCTGTGTCAGAAGGCCCAGCTACAGGGACCTTTGGTCTGACTAGGCATGTCCAGGGACCCCAAGCCCCAGAACCCAGTGCCAACTACTGGAACCTCCTGTGTCAGAAGGCCCAGCTACAGGGACCTTTGGTCTGACTAGGCATGTCCAGGGACCCCAAGCCCCAGAACCCAGTGCCGACACCCCTTCCCGCCACAGGGACCAGCACTGACACCCC